GGACACAGTCTCATCCGCAGACGAGCCACATAGCCCCCCAGCAGCCCGGGGAGACTAAGCAGCGGGCAGGCCCTGCGCTGCTCCTAAGTGCTGCCCGGGTGCCCCCCGAAGATCTGAGCGGGTTCCCGTCCCTGCTGACCACCTCCCCCTTTCCAGGACGCCCATCGCTGACACTGGTGGTTCCCGGCTCTCATGTGAGCCCCACGAGGGGCTGAGATGCACCGCAGGAAGGACAGACAAGAAAAAAAGGCGCGGGGCTTGGAATCCTGTGTACTCAGGGAGGGGCGTGGGGTGTCGTGGGGCTTATCGGTCACAACGGAATGAAAACCAGGGCACTGCTAACATAGCCTCGAGTTCCAGGGAGAGGGAAGCAGAAACCTGAGCGCTGGCAACTGACTTCTTCACGTGATGGTCTCAGCTCCCGTGTGGGCACTGCGGAGTCCAGCGTCCCGGCCACAGAGCCAGGCTGGCCCCCTCTCCCCACACGGGGGAGCCGCAGGCGCTGGGCACAGCACCATGAGTGAAGCCACTCCTCGGTGATGAGGAGAGCCCAGTGGCCGCGGTCGGCAGCTCCAAGGTTACTGTGAGCAAGGGCGCCCACTCGCGTCCGTTCTCACAGGCTCCGTCCCGCCACCAGCCCACATGAACCACGACTTCCTCCCAGCTCCCAGAGACACATGCTGGGCCCAGAGGAGCCTGATCACCCAGGTTCCAAAGAACCAGGCCCTGCGTACTGTGCTGAAGTGTCCCCCAAAATTCATGTCCGTTCCAGGACCTGGGAACGTGACCTCCCTTGGACACAGGGTCTCTGCAGACCTGATTAATTAATTGCAGATGCAGTCACACTGGAGTACAGTGCGCTCTAAGTGCAGGATGGCTGCTGCCCTCAGGCGGAGAGGAGACACACAGACACACACACAGGAGCAGACGGCCCCATGACAACGGACGCGGAGACTGCAGTTACGCTGCCACAGCCCACGAAGGCCACAAGCTGTGGGCCTCTGCCAGAGGCAAGACAGACTCATCCGTAGCCCTGCGAGGCAGCGTGGCCCTGCCGGCACCATGGTCTCAGCCCCGCGGCCCCAGACCCGGACAGGGCCCCGTGTTGTCGGCGGAGCTCGGTACGGCAGCCCCGGGCCACTCGGGCAGCCCGCCGCACGCGAGCGAAGCCCCGGCAGCAACACCACCTCTGCCCCGGGGGGACTGACCCGACAACAGTCCTCCGTGGACACGTGACTCCCCTGTCTGTGCCCAAGCTGCTGGGGGGCTCGTGGGATCTCATCACGTCGGCGCCCCCCTCACGGACGTCTTCAAGGACCTGTCGACGCTGGGGAGCGCGTCCACCTCATCTCTGGTCTCATCAGATCAGCCAGGCGTGTCCCGCAGCCTAAGCAGACGCCTATGTGACCCACCAGTAAAAACCCTAAGAACTAAGGCTATAACATTCTCAATTCGAGGGGGGGAAAGGCAACTGCTACATTCCTAGGTCACGTGCCTCATGAAAGCGTGGCCAATTTTTTTTAAGTTACAACAATGATCTACTTTTGCACAGAGCACACAAACTACATGGCTGCTCATCCAAATTTCTGGGAGGCCCGTCAACCCTTGGGAACCCTGAGGAAGGTGGCATCCCGCACGACTTCTCTCTCCCTCAGTAACCTTGTCCCCTCTGTAGAAGAAGTGCCTACGTGTTTCAAAATGCTGGGTTTTTTCCCTTAAAAATGAAAGGGAGGAAAATACTTCTGACACTCAGAAAAGAGAAATGTAAGTCCAGTCTTGTCCACAGCGAGGTGGGCGTGGCTGCTGGTGGCAAATGTACATTCTCTGGGTCAGGAATTCCTCTATTTTAAGGACACCCACAGGCTTCCCCTGCCTGAAAAAGCCACTGCAGGGACTTCCCTGGTGGCCAGTGGTGAAGACTCTGCGCTTGCAGGGTAGAAGGCACGGGTCCGATCCCTGGCGGGGAACTAAGATCCCACGTGCTGCACGGCGAGACCAAAACATTAGGAAAAAAGAAAAGACTAAGCTAAACGTACAGGGCAGTCGGGGCTGCTTACACACAGCAGCTGTCCGCACGGCTCCCAGCCAGCCCCCAGACACCCCCCACCCTTCTCCCAGGCACAGGAGCCTCCGAGAGAACGCAGGCAGGCCGGCCTCGCACCAAAACCCTCTCCGGCCCACCGCTGGCTCCACTGTAAGCACGACCACCCCGCTTGTAAATCAGAAGCTCGGGGCAGTAAACCTACCACCCGCTGCCTAGAGTACCGGTGACCCCTGCAACACGCAGCAGCCGTGGCGGCCCCCAGGTGACCCTCAGTCCAAGCCTGACACTCCGGCTCATGTTTCCAGAACCCCTGGCATCAGCCGGCGCGCTGTGAGGGTCGCGGCTGGCACCGTGCTCTAGAGCGGGGTCGCTGTCTGCCATGAAAGCAACATTCTTTTGGAACACGGTCAGGCCGATCCGTCCGCATTGTGAGAACGGCTGCTTTCAGAGCCAGGTAGGCACGACCCAGGCCTCACAAAGCTTAGAACGTGGACGGCAAAGCCCTTACGCACCTGTCAGTTGGCCCGGGCTCTGCCCACCGTGCCTGGCTTTCTTCCCCCCCGAGGACTGACCTCAGCGCATCCCACGGGTGGGCTCTCAGGAGCCACCCCACATGATTCCCAGGCTCCGAGACACACACAGGGACTCGGAATGGCCAGGGCCATGAGCTGGGGACCAGGAGGACGAGCCCCCTGGGGTGAGGCAGGGACCGGACGCCCGGCTGAGTACCTGTCAGGAAAACCCGCAGCCAGGCCACACCCCAACTTCCACCAAGGTCAGTGTGCAGACACAGGAAAGACAACTCTGCCTGTGCATGAAGGCTCCCGGAGAGCTCCTCTCCCTGCTTCTCACCGTCCCCACCCAAAGGCCCAGGGATCGCCGTCAAACCTCTGTGTGAGCAATGAGGTCCCCCGGGCAGGATGGCACCCCTTCTCTATTGTGAGATAGTGAACTCTGGGTAATTTGTTTTCCATTCCGTTTTGCTAACTTAGATTTAAATTTCACGCCAGCCGCAGTGGCTCTCCAGCACCAGGTTTTTCAGACATGACCACCTAACCCTTCTGCTGGAAGCCTACTTGCTTCTTTCGTGTCTTTATCGTAAGCCGTGTAGAACACCTTCTGGGTCGGGTGGGCTCTCAGGTGAAATCAGGCCAGCGGGTGCTGACGAGAAGAAAGCGGGCAAGCCGCACCCCTTCCAGATGTCACCCAGACGATGCCTTCACGACAGACTCCAGCCTGCGCCACCCTCACAGCCACGCAGGGGATCCAGATCAGTATGACGAGGTCCCCGGCCCCACCAGCGAGGGCAGCCCAGAACCCCAGCCCTCTAGGACAGGGACGAGGCGGATGGCATGCCTGTGCCCCTGGGAAGCCCAGGGCAGGCCGCTGTCAGCGGAGGGTAGGGAAGGCTCGGCTCTACCCCTCCTCCCTCCTCGAGGGCGGCCCCAGGTCAGGGGAGGCCAGGGTCTGAAAGGCCCCCACTCCCCGGTGTCTTTGCCGCGGGCCAGGCCCTGGGCAGCCCTTCCTAAAGGAAACATTCAATCCACAAAGTCCTCTCTTGGCTCCGTGACCAGATCTGACCCAGAGCCCCCTCCCCCTGACAGCATGGGTCCCACCCCGCCACGCCCAGCCCCAGCGGAGCCTTCCCACAAGTGGGGTGGGGGTGGTGGCAGGCATGGGAGGCCGCACTTACAGCGGATGCCGTAGATGGTCAGGGGGTCGAGCTGCTTCTTGCCGTGCTTGCCCTGGCCCGAGAGGTTGGAGACGGCCTGCACCTCGCGGTGGAAGAGATAGTCCAGCAGCGTGAGCGCCATCTTCTCGGCGGTGCGGCAGTTGGTGCTGATGTGCAGCATGTCGGAGGGGATGATGGCACAGCGCACCCGCATCTCGGGGTTGTTCTCGTCCCCCAGCCACGTGCCATTGGGGTAGTCCTCTGCGAGAGAGAGGGGTCTCGGTGAGCTCCGGCGACTCCGCCCGCTCTCTCTGCCTCCAGCGGGGCGGCCCGGGGCGTTCCCAGGACAGGCAGGGGGCCCACAGAGAGGAACAGGGCAGCTGGCGCCCCTGCCGCCCCGGAGGAGAGGCGGGAGGCGCTGTCCGCAAGCCCACCGGCACCCCGCCAGCTCCGTCTGGGGTGAGGCACGATTCAGGAGGCACACAGTGGGCACTGGGCCTCCTGGCTACACCCTGACCAAGTGGGCCAGCGCCTCCCACCCAGCCTCCGTCTCTGTCACAGCCTCCCAGGAGTTGCAGGATTGACGACGTGTGTGAAAGGGCTTGACGGCTGTCAAACAAACATCAACTTTAAAAAGCCTTATCCTTTGGCAAAAGGAAACTCCACTTATGATCATAAATCAAGAGAACTCTTGACTCTGCTTGGACACCTGGCCGCTTTCCAAACGCTCCCTTCTGATCCTAACGTGGAGGCAAGTTAAGGTGTGAGAGGCGGCCCCTGAAAGCACCAGCGCTGGGGGGGCAATAAGGGGGAGAGTTAGAGCCTCTAAGAGGGACCCAGCTTCCTGCCGAGGCCGGCGGGCCTTTAAGTCGTGTCCCAGCCAGGGTCATCACTGTTTCAAGATTTCTCACGCGATTTATTTTGAAATGTCCTGATATTTACATTCTGGCCTCTATGTGCAAAGAAGGCCCCACAGAGGGCAGCCAGCCCCTCCTGGCTTTGCCGCAGGCCTGGAACAGAGCACGAGGCCCAGAGGCCAGCCGGTCTGTGACTCGCACCCCCTGCCCTGCCACGCCACAGGCAGCCGCTCCCGGCCGGGCTCCTGAATCACAGGACATCCTCTGACACCAGGCGAGGCTCTGCAACCCCGTCAGGACGACCACGTCACCGACGGGCCGGGGCGGCCGCTGGAAGGGCCGGGGCGGCCGCTGGAAGGGCCGGGGCGGCTGAGCTCCTGACTTCAGCTAAGGACAGAGAACAAATCACAGATCTGATCTTTGGAACTCGGAATAAGAGATAAGTCAGAAGAATCATTTCTCAGGAACACGGATGGTTTCGAAGTGAAGAGGCAGAGCTACGAGCACAGGCTCGGATACGTGCAGTTTTCTCACCGGCAGCCACCTGTTACGTTCACCTGCCTACAGGAAAGCTAGTGGACACAGGATCTAAACGTGGATGGGAAGCGACTTCTAGAGGCGCTCTCAGTCATCCCTGAAAGGCCAAGAAGGCTCCAACTCCTGGGGAGTTTATTAGTTTACCTACAGACACTGGGCAACTCTATGCCTGGCACTGGGTCTAGTGCTCAGGATCTAAACCCTCAGCGAATGTAGAATCACAGGCTTAATTACACCAAACGGAGTGGAAGGACTACCCTCCCTCCACCTGCGGCCATCAAGCCACGAAGCAAGTAGAGGGAGGGACAGGGAGGGGAGGGGGGTGGGAGGGGAGAGGCAGGCCGCTACAGGAGGGGCGCCGCGTTGGACACAAGGACAGTGAGCTGCAGGCTCCACACCACCCGCCACGGGGCCAGAGAGCCTTGCGCTTTTCTCAGAAACAAGTATCATGAATTCTACAAGGCCGGCTCCCGCCTTTAGATAATATCTTTAAAGCAAAGTAAACGCTGGGCAGGAGCTCAGCATCATTTTCCAAACCGCGAGTCAACGTCTCGTCAAAGTGACGATGAGCGTGCGTGGAGGTGGCGGGATGGCCGTTCCGTCCAAGAGGGAGGTTGGCTCGGCTTCTCCACCACTGACTCCAACTGAGAGCCAGCTTCCTCGGGGGCTGCCAGCACACGCGTCCCCTCCTCGGCTCCCCAGCCCCGGAAGCATCCTCTTTGCCAGAGCCCTCACACATGCACCATGACAGAGCCAGAGGCTGCGGGGCTGGGGTTGGGGGTCAGAGACAGAGTCCTGCCAGCCCCCAGCAAGGGGGCCTCGGCTCTCTGGCCGGGGCAAGGAGCGCCCCACCTGTCCAAGCCCCAGACCTGGCCCTACTGCTCCAACAGCGATGCGCCAGAGCAAGGGCCACCTTCCTTGCAGACGCCACCCCGGACAGCCTCAGCCTCCCAGCTCCAGCGACAACCGAGAAAGGCGGGGCCACGCCACACCGTCCCACGCACACAGCGGGGTCACACGTGGGTAAAGGCAGACACTGTCAAACTGATCCAGGAGGAAGGAACGAAAAAGCGACCTCATCTATTAAACTTAATTCTTAGGAAGGCAAAACACCACGTTAAATGAATGAAAACGTTCACAAAGGAAAGCCAAGCCTCATTTTTACGTGAAGAATGCTCATCCTCAGACTGATCAGAAACTCCCCAGTCTTCACGGATGATCTCTGTGAGCTGTGCTGCAGACGAGAACACGGAAAGGGCCGGATGGGCTCAGTGAGGAAGCGACCGGCTGGCCACCGTGAGCGCGAGGGCGCACGTGGCCACTGGGACGGGCTCTGCGGGCCCGCGAGGGTTGTTTCCTCGCCCAGCTCCCTGCTGACGCGTGGCCACGGACGAACGTCCAGCCCCAGAGCTGGCAGACGGGCCTCCAGGAGTATTACCAGGACATTCTGGAGGAGGAAAGATGGCATTTTAAATTCCTACAAAAGGGCTTCCCTGGTGGCGCAGTGGTTGAGAGTCCACCTGCTGATGCAGGGGACACGGGTTCGTGCCCCGGTCCAGGAAGATCCCACATGCTGCGGAGCCGCTGCACCCGTGAGCCATGGCCGCTGAGCCTGCGCGTCCGGAGCCTGTGCTCCACAACGGGAGAGGCCACAGCAGTGAGAGGCCCGCGTAATGAAAAAAAAAAAAAAATTCCTACAGAAGTTATTATTTCAGGGAATACTGCTCCCCCCAAAATAAATGAGTCTAACAACTAACTATTTTCCCTCCCTGGCACTCCGGAAAATAATGGCTTAAACATCTCTGGTAACATAGGGAATTGTCCAGAAAGTTTCTTTCAAACACCTCAAAATTTTGCAAGGCATTTTATAACCTGTCTACAACCTAACTTCCTTAATGCTGTGAGTCTCAGGTGTGTGGTCATCTGACCAGGAAGAAGCCCGAGCTAGGTGGACAAGAAACAGCCTGCAGCAAGTCTGACCAACACAGCCATTGCTGTGGGAACAGAGGACCCCTCCGGGGGCAGGGAGGACCAGGGCTGCAAGGTCACTGCCGAGGCACTCCCGGGAGACTGGCAGCGCCTCCACGCTCCCTGGCCCAGACGCTCAGGTGCGCAGTCCTCACCCAGGTGCGCGGGCCACACCTGCTGACTCTGCCCCAAGTCACCTCTGACCCAACCCAAGAGCCCGAGCCCAGCCTGGGCCCAGCTTCCCACCAGTGACAATGAATCACGTCTTTTAAATGTAAAACAAGACGGAGCACCAGCCCACATAAATATTTGAGAAATTTGCCTTTTGACAATTCAGAAAGGATATATTTATTTTACTAAAATAGCTTGGTCCAGTTTTGGCATCTGAAACAATAAATAGATTCCAGTGGCTTTATTTAAAAACTACCAGTTGGGTTATAAGAAAACTAAACTTGCTTTCTATTCCAATCATTTAAATCTTTAATTAAATTAACTGACATTTTCTAAAAACCCTATTCCAAAAAAAACCCTCAGCAGTAGCTTGAACTTTCTTACCAAACAGTTCAGAATACAAATATTTCTTGTGAGGGTCTATTTTAGTTCTAGGAAAATGAAACGAACAGGAGAAAGCCCCAAGACGAAAAGGATGGCCACAGTCTCAGGGTCGCCAACTTGACAACGAGAGAAAGCAGCCACCTGTGTCATGCCTCCCCTGCTCCCCACCTGCTGACACGCATGCATACATACATGTGTATATACGGAATACACACGTCCATACAGGCACGCACACACACGCACAGGCACACGTCCCGAGGTAGTTGATGCACACACCAGCACGTCCACTGACTCCACGGAGCCTTGGTTCCGAGCCACTCGGATGGGCCCGGGCCTAGGCATGGGCGTCCCTCTGTCCCAAGTATGGAGCTAATCGTGTGGGGCAAAGACAAGACAGTATCTACTCCGCGCCTCCTACGTGCCAGGACTTCACATGCCTTACCGCAACTCAGGGACTCTGAGAAAACGCGACACAAGGCGTCACCACTCCTCCAAAGCAAAGGGCAAACAGCAAGTCCTCCGACAGCAGCCTGCATGCCCTGCACACATGCGCCCAGCCCACAGAACCATGTGGCCACACCTCGGACGGAGCCCAGCCTCTTCCGGGGAATCCTGCCCACTGAGCACAGTCGTCATGAGCTCAACTGTGACAACAGCGAGTGTCCAAGGACACTTGGCAGAAAGGGCGGGAGCGCTGGGCAGAGACCGGGTGTCCCTATGCTGGGTCCCACATGCCAACCCGAGACTCAGCGAGGGATGCTGTGAGGCCACCCCCCAACCACTCTTCTCTGATCTGGGATCAGTGACCATTCACTACATGGTCCTGCACAAAGACCCACTGACGTTGTTACACTACTCTTTCTTAATCCTGCTCTTGTCAGCAGCCTACTTATGACGGCTGCTAAAATGCGTTTTAATGTTACCAAATACACAAAGAATTTATGCAAGGACTTCCCTGGCGATCCAGTCGTTAAGACTTTGCCTTCCAATGCAGGGGATGCAGGTACGATCCCCGGTCGGGGAGCTAAGATCCCACATGCCTCGCGGCCAAAAAACCAAAATGTAAAACAAAACCAATATTGTAACAAATTCAATGAAGACTTTAAAAATGGTCCACATCAAAACAAATCTTTAAAATAAAAAAGAATCTGTGTTAAGAAAAGTTCATATAAAATAAATTATGTGAACAAATTCTCAAGAAATGTTTCTGGCTAAATTTCCTCCTCACCACACGTACAGCTGCAGTTTCGTGAACACAGCAATTTGTACTGATCTTGTTTCGTAGCCCACAGCCCAGCAACACCCCGGAGAAGGTGCCCCGGGGTCCCCGTGCTGTGCCTGACAACCCTGCTGAATCACCTGCTCCTCCCAGACTTTATCTCCCTGCCCTGCCCCCCACCCCAGCACAGATATGTGAGTATCTGTATCTGTTTATATTCACAGATATGTGAGTATAAATCATTTCACTGACTCGGGGCTTTGCAACATACACAAGGCTGATTTCTGACAATAATTCAATTATAACAGAAGTATTTTCCTATTAAAGGCAAGTACCAAACGCTTCACATGCAGGATTAGTCAAGTTCTGTAAGAATTATCAAATGCATAAACGGCAGGAATTTAAACACTTTATTAAGAATCTAACTAAATCCCTTCATTAATGCACAGATCCCACTTTTGGTCCATTTTGTCTAATCTGTTTCTCTGACTCAGTTCACCAGCTTAATCTTGGAACGACGAACCCCACACACTTTCAGTACCTCCCAAAGACTGGGGTAAACGAAGGCCTTGTGCCGGGAAGAGAAGGGCAAGAGCTAAGAGCTAAGCCTGCGGCTCACTGCTCCCCACCCTCAGCGTTTCTCTGATCCAAAGGGAGCTGGTGCCGCGACAGCCAGAACTGCTGATTAACGCACGGGTAAATCCCCTGGCACCTCTGCAGTATAATAAAGATCTGCTAGGGGACGGCATGCCAATTCACGCAGACAATGCGGAATTCTTAAGAAATAGCCATTCTGAAACTCTGTGGTTCTCTGCAATCAGGCACAGAAATACTTTTAGAAGAAGAGAAGAACGTCTGTCTATGTGCAGCCCTGGGCTCTTATCAGGAAGTAAGATGACTCCACCTAAGGCCGAGCCTACAGCCCTTCAGCGCCTACATCTTATCCCCATTTCTCTGATAGGAGGTAGCTGACTGGACGCTCCCCAGTCGAGAAAGCTATTCTGGTCCCGGGAGGACGCGGGAGGGAAGCAGCGAATCCGACTCTCAGTGCATCATAAATGCCACAGGATGTTGGCCACATGACGCCACTACAAGCCCTTGCGAGACGTTCGCAGATTAGCTCTTTTGCCCACATTTACGTGCACACACCGGCGGTCTCTGTTCCATCTTCCCAACCCCCGTGCCAACCGAGGTGGCTCAACCTGACATTCTCAGGACGTAGAACTGCAGGGGGGTGGGGGGGGGACAACTTCCCGAGGACAGGGGCAGCAAGCTTGCACTCAGACACACAGAAAACCTGTACTTTTTTCCCCACAGATTTTAATACTAATAAGCTCAAATTCTGATCCCTTTTTGTAAGCTCACATTAGAGTCCGTCTGCAGTCCCCCCTGAAGTATATTTCACATTAATCAGATCACATTAGGGCATACAAACTTAAAAGATGACATTTTTGGTTTTTATGATAACCCCAGACTCCCCTCAAATTATCCAATGTCATGTTTCAGAGCTGAGGCCGTTTAAACCAAACAAGTTAGGCCTAAAGTACACAGCCAGACCTACAGGAGTATTTACCCAAAATCCACATGGAAAAAGAATAAGAACAATTAGCTTTCTCTGCAATTGTTGCAGATGTAATTTTCATTCGATATCCACTAAGATGAAATCAGGAGCAACCCTCTTTTACTCAAGTCTAATGAGTAAAGAGACTAGCTGCCCTGACCCAGCAATTCCACTCCCAGATATCAGCCCAAGAAAAATGAAAACATGCACAAAAACCTACACACAAACGTTCAGAGCAGCACTGTTTGTGACAGTCAGAAAGTGGGAACAACGCCAGCGTCCATCGATGGGTGACGGATAAACAAAGTGTGGCCTATCTACACACTTAGATGGGCCGTCATCCGGCCATAAAGAGGAATGAAGGACTGGTGCATGTACAACGGGAGGGCACCACGTGTTTCCACTCGTATGAAACATCCACAACAGGCAACCCCACAGACAGGAAGCAGATCAGAGGTGGCAGGGCTGGAGGCTGGAGCACGGGGGTACTACTGTGGGGTCTCCTTGGGGTGGTAAAAATACCCTGCAATTAGATAGGGGTGATGTGCACGCTCTACTGGCACGTCTGCTTTAAAATGGTCAGTTTTATGGAATGGAAATTAGACCTCAATTTTTTTTCTAAGTTGCCCAGTTTGCTTTTTCTCTGTTCCCTGCTCTGCCATCTCAACCCTAGCAACTTATGTTAGAGGTGAATGACGTTTTAAGGAAAACATTTTCAATGCTTCAGATGTGGTAACAAGTCTAACAGGAAAATCTTAGTAGAAAAATCTATACTGTGCTCTTAGGAAACATCAACGACGCAGACGGAGAAGCAGAAACACCTCACCAGCCCTTCCTAGTTAACAAATTATATAGGCTTGAGGACTCGGTGATACGATGCTACATCTGCCAAGTTCCCTCCTCTCTCTCCGCGCTAGTTTGGGAAACATCGACTCAGCCCTTGAGAGAAGGACAAAGCTGCCAGGTGGCAGGAACCCTCTGGAGGGCATGCCGGGCCACCACCCGGACCCAGAGCCAGGTGAGAGTGGACCCCAGACCCAGCAGGAGAGAGGACGCTCCCCCCTATATCACAGTGGGCAGGGGCAGCGTGGACTCAACCTGGACGTGCGGCCCCTCTGAGTCTGCGTGAGGCCCTCATCAGAGACACAGGATAGAGCTGTGGTCAGACAAGTGAGCCGACCGATAGCTCTCAAGTTACAGCTGTCCATCATCAGAAAGCCTCCAGAACTAGATTCAACAAGCAAAACTGACTGAAAACGATTATGTAAATCTGTATCAACGTGGAGAGATCTCTACTATGCAACGGGGAAAAGCGGGTTACACAATCATAAGTCTAGCGCGCACGTTAGCGTAGAAAAAGCCCAGGAGATTTCTAGAGATCTCTGGATGAGGAATGTCTCCGGTTATTTGTACTTTCTTTGTCATTTTCATATCTTCCATCTTTCAAAAACAATAAACATATATTACTTTTCTAAAAAGCAGGGGAAAAAATTACAGCTGACACCGTAACAACGTGAGGGTTTCGACCCTCCATGTGGTCAGGGATCCACACGTAACTGCTAGTGGGCCCCCCGTGAACGCAGCACCCCCATATTCACGGCTCCCCATGTGCAGACCGTACAACGCTGTAATATCTACTATGAACAGTCCACGTGTCATGGACCCGCGCAGCTTCAGCCCGAGTTGTTCAAGAGCCGTGGCACACCCATTACCGTCCACGCGGAGGATAGGAGCAGCTTCGAGGACGCACCTTCCGAGTTCAGGGTGATGAGGGTGACGTTGTTGCCGATGTTCTGACTTCCTGACTGTCCACAGTTGGAGACGGAGTCGCTGGCCTCGGACCCGCTCTCCCCGTCCTCATTGTGGCTGTCCTCCTGACCCGGCACCTTCACCACGATGGTGTTCTGCCGACGCCCGGGCACCGCGCTGCGCGGGAAACAGAGACACCAGCAGTGTGGTGAGAGCAGCACAGCAACACGCAGAAATGGTTCTGTACCCCGACGTTCTCCCCTTCACGTCTCAGAGAAGCTACCTGTGCACACGCACTGGGCCACCAGCCTTCCCTCAGCTCTTTCTACTCAGATTAATAGCAGGAGACAGTCTGTGGCTCCAAGAAACTGTATGAAACTTGAGACGTTTAAAAAAATGTTTACATCACAAAAGAAGTGAAATCACAAATCGCTGTGACTCAAGGCCTAGAACACTCCCTTCTGAGCATGGAGGTGACCCTACAAAACGCTGACGCCTGAATCAGGGTGAGATTGAGGCCGTGTCAAAGGAAAGGCAAAGTGAGAGAAAGTATGTCTGCAGACCCAGACTGACTGCACCGATCCACTCCGTCCCGAGAGATGTCCTAGAAATGACGCAGCTCTCACTCCCAACTAGCCCACTGACAGAAACCGCTCGAGTGGGCTAAAAAAGCCAGTCGAGGATCTCCTGGGGGGTGTTCTTAGCACCACAAGGGACCCTGATACAGCGCAGTAAGACACTGCCAGGAAACCAGAACACCAGCCAGCTCCAAAACGTGCTCCGTTACCCGGAGACACGCTCCTGCCTTCTGAATGACCTTTTCGACTTCCTTCGAGACGCTGCCGCGCACGGGGAAGGGGAAGCCGCGCGAGGTCCCCGCTTGCCGAGGCAAACCCAGGGGCTCCACCCTGGGGGCTGGACCTCGCTAAACGCTCCAGACCTGGCCACGACTCCGCCCTCGCAGGCACGAGGCACACGGACCCTCTGCTGCTCTGCCGGCCCACGGCCTCGGCCCGGAGCGTCCGCGGCCGGGCTGCTTGGGGTCTGGGGCCCTGGGGCCCTGGGGCCCTGGGCTACAGCCAGGTGGAAGCGGGAGCGGCTGCAGGAGGGCCTGCGAGGCTCGCCGGGAAGCAGCGCGGTGGGGCCGCCGTCGGCGGGGCGCCAGCACACGCACTCCCGCCTCTGACCCAGGCTACAGCCAAAGCGTCTCCAAAGAAAAAGGGGGGAAAAGGCACCACCTCGAAACGCCTCCGCCACTTCACCAGCCAGAGGGGACGTCGCCGACCCGACACACTCGGACAGACAGACAGACGGGAGTGAGGTGAGAGGACGGGATCCGCGCATCGTGCTGAGCACACAGGGTACCTCCCGCCGGCACGCGCGGCGGTGGACACAGGCCGGGCCGTCCTCCCCAGACCCCGGCCGCGGAGAACCCCGGGCCCAACGACACGGGCGCCCCAGGACGCCGCCCTGTCCCCGGGGCCCCAGCGGTGGCGGTGAGAGGTGGGGTGTCGTGCTACTGACTTGCTAATGATATTTTCCAGGGGATCCGGTGCCCTGCCGCTCAGGGGGTCTTCCATCTTGGCTACAACGGCGTTCTGCCGATCACTGTTGAGAATTACTGTAGTCTGGGGGACGACGCTAGGGAACAAAAGAATCACAGAGAAAAGAAGACCTTAACACGACAGCGTTCATTGTCAGAGCACAGAGTCATCAAAAGTCAGCGCCCACGCCCCGAGCTCCAGAGGGGAGGCCCCGGCAGGGCTGCGCTACGTGCACGAGTGACACCGGGCAAAGTGCGAGCCGGGGCTGGGCTTCTTAATGGAGAGTCTAGCTCTGCTCCTTGTTGGCACTGTCAGGAGAGTCGGGTTACAAATATTTACATGTTTACAGAGAAGAGACGAAGGTGTCACAGCTGTCACTGTGCAGGAAGGTTTCTGAAGGAGCAGGTCTGCATGAAAAACAGCTTGAGACTTACTCACTGCATCCGAGTGAATTCCCATCTGCAATCTAGGCTTTCGTGACCACTGTGTTTATCAGTTCCATCGCAGGATGTGAGTGTCATGCACAGAAAGGGGCGAACACCCGCGGAGGGGCTGTGGCGGAACCGCCGGGCACTGACCTCTGGGTTCTGCTGGGCCAGTGCAGGAACCACAGCCAAGGGTCCGGGGACTTTGCTTCGAAGGAAATGATGCTACAAAAGAATTGTGCCCCACCGGGGGCTCTTCCCGGAGGGAGACATGTGTTTATTTTTTTTTTTTTTTTGAGACACGTGTTTAAACACGGGCGAACACCCGCGGAGGGGCTGTGGCGGAACCGCCGGGCACTGACCTCTGGGTTCTGCTGGGCCAGTGCAGGAACCACAGCCAAGGGTCCGGGGACTTTGCTTCGAAGGAAATGATGCTACAAAAGAATTGTGCCCCACCGGGGGCTCTTCCCGGAGGGAGACATGTGTTTTTTTTTTTTTTTTTTTTGAGACACGTGTTTAAACACGCGGGAGCCAATGGCTCGTCTCTAGGCACAGTCGTCAAGATTTTTTGCTCATTAACCTTCCAGCCCTCAGTGCTTCCCGCCGTGCTTTGTGCAGAAAGAACAGGCACTCGAGATGTACAGCAGTGTTACCTGAGAGCAATGTCATGCCTGGATCTCACTCTCCAAACTCCAAGTCGGGGAAACCCTGCTTTTACAGGAGGAAAGCTCATGAACCCGAAAGCACCCATGAGAACCCAGCCCCCTGTCCCAGCCACACCCTGTTAAATGTCCCCAAAATCAGAGGTACAAATGGCACCATGTCATGCTGAAGTGAATGGCAGGACCACAGGATATTTTCCTAAAAAAGAAGCACAATCACCTGCATTCCACTCAAAGGCATTATCATTTTCTCAGCCGTGCTACTTAATCATCAGTGACACCTGAAATAACCCGCCAAATCCTGACCACCTACCCACAGGTCAGGCAACACAAGTGACCAGGTGGCCTCTGACTTGGTACCGAGGTCACACACAGGGTACCCACACAAAGGCGTTCCCTCTCACCCCGATAGGACATCACGATGGACATGAGCACATTCAAGGTCTGAGATGTTTGCCAGAAATAAACAGGTTAAAATGGATTCACGCCAACATCCGGCAAAGTCGTTTAGTAAACACACCTCTGTTCCCTAAAGGACCTTAAGATCAAGGAAGTGCTGGTCTGAGACAACCAGCTTCAAGCTGGAGCACAGGGAGCCCCGGGGCGCCCGACCGTCGGGGGTCCCTCGGTGTGCAGACCCCACAGAGCCTCAATTCCCAGATGGCCTCCTTCCAGAACATCCTATGTCCTAAAGATGATGCCCCAGGAGAGCACCTCTGGCCAATATGGTTGTTCCCTTTCACAAAGCCTCCCCGCAATCACGTTCAGGCACCCCGTCCATCCAGACGTAAGACAGCAGGTGCTCTGTGGGGGTCACTCCTTACCACTCGCCTCTGACAAAGCGCACGGAGGACCTACTTAGGGTTTCAGCTCACAGATAATCAAAGTAATCTGTGATGACAGACCACTAAGATTGCTGGCACACACCTGCAAGAAATGCGGACCTCCTTCGTCTTCCACATATTTATTTATGTAAACAAAGCTTCTCAGAACTTTAAACTATAAAAACTGAAAACAGAAATGGAACCAACATTGAACCCTGCGTCATTTTAAGGGATAGATTACTCATAACCCTCCAGAGATTCAGGAATTCACTAACACTAAAGCCCCATCCATCTCAAGGGTAAATTCACAACATTGCATTGTTAAGAGTTAACTACAAACTGGTAATAATTTACCCTGTTCTGTTCAACTGTGTACTAAGAACCGTAATGAGACCTCAATCCAGAAGAGCTTTTTTTTTTAACCCTCCAGGCCTCACGGTTACAGGAAATACATTTTTCAGCTTCAATTTCTATCCGTATTTCTGTTGCACAGGAGTGCACCAGCCTGGTTGACAGGATAAAATCTTGTGAAGGAAATGAAGTGGGAAAGAAAGTTCAAAAAGCAAAAGGGACGATGTAAAATTTGACTGTCCAAAGCTTATTCACCAGGGGATTTGTTTTTAATGGATGATGGTGTTTAGATTATAAAAGAAACATTTAAGTGAGCAATGAATCTGTTTTTAAATACCAATATTAATATTCCAGAAAATACACCTTTCCACTAATGCAATTACGTCAACCTCAAGTTGTACAACTTAATATTTTGTTTTTCAAAAGTTATGGAACATCCACATCACATTAAGAAGACAGCAGGGCTTCCCTGATGGCGCAGTGGTTGAGAGTCCGCCTGCCGATGCAGGGGACACGGGTTTGTGCCCCGGTCCGGGAGGATCCCACATGCCGCGGAGCGGCTGGGCCCGTGAGCCATGGCTGCTGGGCCTGCGCGTCTGGAGCCTGTGCTCCGCAACGGGAGAGGCCACAGCAGTCGAACCACAAAAAAAAAAAAAAAAAAAAAAAAAAAAAAGAAGCAGAAGACAGCAGTAGTTACCCTGAGGGTCCGTACGGAGCAACTGTCACAGCACGTCAGTGCCCTGCCGAGGCCGAATCACAGCCCCAGGTACCCAGTCAGACACGACTCTGGGTGCTGCTGGGAAGGGGCTTTGCAGATGTGATAGAAAGTCCCAGTTGGTTGATGTTAAATTACTCGAGAGGCAGATCACCCTGGGTGGGCCAGGCCTGATCGGGTGAGAGCTTTAAAAGGCAGTTTAGGGGCTTCCCTGGAGGTCCAGTGGTTAGGACTCTGCACTTCCACTGCAGGGGGTACAGGATCGACCCCGGTTGGGGAACTAAGATCTCACGTGCTGCATGACATGGACAAACTAAATAAATAAATTAAATATTAAAAAAAATAATAATAAAAGGCAGTTTAGGCTTTCCCTGATCTTGGAGACTCCAAACAGCTCCTGCCCATAGGGTGCCACCTGGTGACGATGCCCCCTGCCTGTCCACCTGCCACACAGCCTGTGCACGTGCTTGGCTGCCTCCACGGCCGTGTGAGCCAATTCCGAGTGGGAAGCCCCTTAGAGTGGGTGCTGGCTGTCCCCATACACACCCCTCCCACTGGTTCTGCTTCTCTGGGAATCCTGTGTAAGCTGCAGCGTGACACCGAGGGCGGGAAAGCGACACTGGGACCCTGCTGGCACCAACCCCGGGCCTCGTTCAGATCGCACCAGTCTCCACGTGCACCTGTCGTGCTGCCTCCCAGCCACGCCCACCCTCCCTCCCCGGCGCAACCGCTAACCTGCTCCCCGTCTACCGCTCGGACACTTGGAGGATGTCACAGAGGTGGGAGCACGGGGCGTGTGACCTCTGAGACGCCTCTGCTGACACCTCCCAGGCGGCCAGGCCCAAGCATGTGCCTTAGGGGCACACCCGCATGTTTAACCTTTCACCCAGACAGGGGCCTTCGGGGTGTTTGCAGGTTTGGTTATTACAAACAAAGCGGCCATGGCCATTCATGTGGAGGTTCTGTGTGACCACGAGTTTCCATTTCTCTGGGATAAGTGCCCAAGAACGTGCTTGCTGGGCCACACGGTGAGGACATTTTCACGGCGAGAAATCCTTCTGATCTGTTTCTAGAGCTGCTGCCCCGTCTTACACGCCTACCAGCAGCGGCGCGAGGCCCGGGGTCTCCGCGTCCCGCTGGCATCTGGAGGGGTCCCTGTTGTGTCTAGCTGTCTCCTATCCTTGTTTCCCTGCTGGCTAACGCTGCTGAGCTCCTTTTCACGTGCTTACTCACCATCCACCTCTCCTCTCTGGTAAAATAGCTGTTTCTGTTTTCTGCCGACTTTCGAATTGGATTGTTTTGACTTTTCACTGTTGAGTTTTGAGAGGTTTTTATTCTAGACATTCCACTAGTCTTTTATCAGATATGTGGTTTGCAAACAGTTTCTCCTGGTCAGTAGGTTGTCTTTTCAGCTCCTAACAGGTCTTTCAAGGAGCGTAATAAGTTTTTAATCTCGATTGAGTCCACTTTCTCTTTTATTTTTCATGGATAGCGCTTTTGGTGTGACGTCTCAGAAGCCTCTGCCTAGCCCCAGGTCCCAAAGGTTTTCTCCTGTGTTTTCATCCCAAAGTTTTACAGTCTTATATTTTATGTTGCAATCTGTGATCCATTTTAAATCAATTGCTGTTCAAGGTGTGAGGTTTCCACCGAGGTTCATTTCTTTCCTTTTGCCTGTGGAAACTACCCCCGCACCATTTGTTCAAAAAGCTGTCCTTCCTCCATCAAACTGCTTTTGCACCTTTGTCAAAATCTAGCCGGCATATTTGTGTGGGTCTATTTCTGGGCTCTCTATTCAGTTCCACTGATCAATTTATCTATTCCTCTGTCATTCTGGTTTTTAAAACTTTATGTGCTTGCTCATTTTATTCTTTCACAGTCTTAAACCATTATCTATACCTTTACTTAGAACTGTATGTCAGTTTTCAAAGTTCCTGTTAAGTAAAAACTTAACCAAAAGGGAAAAGGGAAATTCCTAGACCCACAGACCATCCTGACTGTTTTAATTCTAAGATGAGGCTGACGTGCAAGCTGAACATTCTTGCCTAATTCTAAGATTATGCTAGTTACACACAAGCTGAATACTCTTGCCTAAGCACATTATCATTCAGAAGTAAAGCACG